AAAATATTCTTTAAACTTCAATTCTAAATTGTATTTTGTCACCAATTATTTAGAAAACATAAGTAAATAATAACATAAAACATATATTAATTATAATTTAATTTTTAAGTATCTTGAAAGTTTTTTTAGGGAATGGGTAAGAAAAAGAAAAGTGAAAAAAATATTCAATTAATTTAAAGAAGCTTGATTCAGGCATAATTGGACAGAATAAAAATGCTAAAAATTTAAAAATTTGCTTAAGCTAAATAATATAACTTAAACAAATTTTAGGTAAAAACTTTGAATTCTAATATTGAAATTCACTTAAGACATTTAAAAATAATTTAAACGAATCTCACCTTAAAAAAAATAGAGAAGCAATTCGAACAGATTATATAATAATTTCTTTTATGGATTCAACTGATTAATTCAAATTAAATCAAATAACATTGCAATTACTAATTTAATGCATAAACCCTTTCAAACCTATGGAGGGTATAGACGAAAGGGTTTTTTGGGAGCTATGCGTGCCGTGGAAGGATGTTTGGGTACAAAGGTCGTAGGAGAAAGGGGGACTAATTAATGATGCGTGACAGCCTCAAAAGTCTATGAAAATTTATTGGAGAATATCATCTTATGCATGTTACTTTTCTTTTTGGTTTGTTAGCTGTTCTTTAAGATTATTTTACACAATTTTAAAATTAATTAATACTTTAGTTATATAAAAATTATTATTTAATTTTTAAATTTTGTTTTTAATTAATTATTATTTTTTATTTACTAACTTCACTCCTTAACCGTTAATATTAAACACAAAATATATTTTAAATATTAACATGCAAGTAAGTTGGGAAGAGATTTGTGATTTACTTTCATTAATTTTTTAACTTTACAATAATATAAATGAACAAAATAATAAATAATTTTATCAAGATAAGGCCACGAAAGGAGTACTAGTTTATAGTACCTAATTGATTGAATTAGTTTTCTTATATTAAATTATTTAAAAAATTCAAAATATTAAAATTAACTTTAACAATTAAGCTAAATATTATTTACGATAACTTTTTTTTTGTTAACTATAAGTTATCTTTTTAAATTTATAATTTTTTAAATTTTATTTATCAAAAATATTTATTTATTTGTTAAATAAATTATAAGCTTGTAAGTTAAAGCCCAAACAAGGAGTATTGAAGGCGATCTTTAATATTTAAAAAAATAATAATTTCTACTATGTCTTATAAATTAGGAGAATATTTTATATTTTCTCACACATAAAATAATTATTATCATTAATTTTTATATTAAATATGTATAACAAACAATAAAAATTAGTTAGTTATTTAAAAAAATTACAAATATATTTTAATTTTTAAGATATTAAAAGAATCACAATAGTTAAGAAAATATAAAATATTCTTTTAAATTTAAATTTATAAACACTTTTTAAAAAAAATCTAAATGTAAACTTGTGCGTGTTTCTGGTGAGATGAAAAGATCATGACATGGATACGTATTCACGACTCAACCTCATGTTTTATGACGAAAAGGTGTTGCGACAACTGCCATTACGAGGAACGTTAAGAAAGGAAAGTTTGCAAGATTTTTTGCAGTAAAGTTAATCACTTAATCTTACTAAGCTTGTGATTGTAAAAGTATGGTTGTGCAGTGTATAGTATAAGGTGGAGCACATGAAGCCTTCAAATTATTTGTACTTGTAAGAATTATGTTCATGTAACAAAAAATTGTAAGTATTATTTTATCCCATTAATTATCTATGTATGTATGGAGACAAAAAATTGATAAATACATTAAGCATATTATAAAAAAATTACTTAATAATCAAATTTCAGGTATACTATGATAATTCCAATTTTTAAACTTGTTTGGCTACACTATTTATATGAATAGCAAGGACCTCTAATTACAAATTTAAATTTGATAGTTTAGTATCTAATCTCATACTTCTTTCTTTTGTAAGTTCGGAATATCAATGTACTTATATATTGGGTAACTATATATATATACACATCTGTACTCATATTCATTATCTTCATTTTACTTTACTAAAATATGGCCTTTCATAATGCATTTTATTTTTTATTAGCGTATGAACATCACATTGAACATCTCAGAAATTAATTGCTTTGAGTTGAGTTAGGTAAATTTATTATGAGTGATGAAAAATTAGTAAAACACGAATTCTATTATAACTTTAACATTAATGATAAGAAGAACTAATAAAAACGTGTACGGATTAAGAATATAATATATAACTTAATTAAAAAAAGTTATTTTAAAAAATATAATTTCTAAATATAAAATATTACAAACAAAATCATTTAAAGTCATACAAATTTTAATAATACAATATAATGATTACAATACGTCAGTATATATATATATATATGATAGAATAACGTATATCTTTGCCAATAAAATTTGAGTCATTATTAATATTTGAATTTATACCTATTTGATGGGTTAAAACCCTACACGTTGAGGGGAATTTTTATGGGTACACATATTGTGTGTAGGTCAGAGTTGTCCTACATTTTTATTATTGCCATATATCTTTATTACGTGAAAAATGTGAGAAATAAGAAAGTGACTTCTTATTTAATGTTAGTCTAAATTCAATTATGTTTATAAAATATTTAAATTTAAATTATACTAAATTAATATATTTATTATTTTAACTTTTGATTTTGTTTTAGTCTAGTTTTCTAATTTCTTTTTATTTTGATTCAATTAATTTATAAAATATTTTAAATAGGTATTATTTTTATTAAAAGTGTTAACTTCATTTAAAAAATTACTTTCATTCACACATTTTCTTACTTTAGAAGAGTTATATACAATTATTTTAACATGATTTGTTAATGAATTACAATTAAACTATATAAAAAAATGATATACCACGTCTAAATCAAAATTTTAAAACATTAAAATAGGTTCATTGATTTTTACTTAAAATAGGACTTTTTTACTAAATGTTACTACTTCAACAAGTAGACCTAACAACAATATCATGTTCATATGATCTAACTGTGTGAGATCACGATCAAGGAACAAGAGATGAATAAACATGTCCCAGACGACAAGAAAAGCTACCAAACAAGTCAATTCCCCCATATCAAAACAGTTAGATTTAGATTTTGTTTGCCACTATGTTGCATTTATGTGGATTATCAACGGCAAAAAGTCGGTTTGGTTTCAGAGACAGGGAGTTGAATTTGGATATGCAATTCAATAGCAACACAAAATATGTCCATAGTGTGTGGGTCACTATGTTCCCTTCTCTCGGTGGAAAAAGACCTGAAAAAGTTAGCAGACCGTATCCGACCTAATAAGAAAAAAAAGGATCGTACAGATTATAACCACTGCACTACCAATTGGAAAAGCCATTGTCACCAGCGAAATTTATTGATCCAGCACCTCATGGCTCATGCAATCACACGTAGTCTAACGAAGAATCCAAATTGCAAAAGAAGCACAAAACATGTTATTTCAAGATCTATGATGTACCTACATACGTCAATCTAGACATAGATTTCGTTAGATACATAGGTTCGTTGGATTGAATTGAATTGGATATTGTTAATTTCTTAAAGTAAGCAATCGTTTTTTTTTTTAATATTAACATACGTACGTGTTTGAATGCAAACAAGAAAAGGGAAAACTTGAAAGATAAAAAAAGTGAAGTACCGCTTATTTTATAACCTAATAACCCTCAACTTCTAATTAAAATAAGTAAAAGAATAAGTGATTTTTATGTTAGTAATATTGAATATAAGTGGTTTTGAATTTTGTATTCAAATTTAAAATATTTTTCTTAAAATCTATACTAAAATAAATAACTTTAAAATAAACAGTTTTTCATTAGTCTATTCAAACGTTTTAAGGCTTTTACAGAAGGGATTTCTTATTAATTTTGGTTCTGATTTCTTTTTTAGTTTTCAAATTTACTAATTTCATGAACTAAAGAGATAATTTAGAGAGAATAGAAGTGTATAAATATACTTTATTAATCACTTAAAAACTTAAAATGAACGTAGAAGGAATGAAGTTATATATAAATAATTAAATTTAGTTCAAATGTTGTTTTAATTTACTTTTTCTTAAAAAAAATACAAACTGATGGTATGTAGTATCAATCAAGTTAAAGAGCTAGTGGTATATATATAATGAGTAGTAACGCATTCAATAATAGTACGTTGATAATTATATATTATTTTTGGGAGAACAATATGAGATTGGATGAGTAGATGTGCATATTGAGAATAAGAAACTTGTCCTTTTAATTAGTCCTAATGACGCACCTACATGTCAAAGCATGAACAGAATCTTATGGATGTGCTCCATGTCACCCTCCACGGAACTAATCAAGCATGATGTCATATAAATTTGACAACTTTTGATCAATCAACTAATGTTCAGTTCTATTATAACTAACCTTTCTATTATTTTTTTTATAAGGTCTTTGTTAACATGTGTTGTAAAAATAAAAATAATATTAAATATTATTGAGTCAATATCAGAAGAAGAACTTCGTGCGCGAGTAAACAGACGTCCAGAAAATAACTTCGTTTATTTTTTCTAAATATAAAGGAGATTTTTTTTTCATATTATCGAATGAGTCTAAAATGAGTAAAAAAGGAAAGTGATATACGATAAAATAGAAATGATAAAAGATTAAAAAAAATGAGGAAAACATATAAAATGTAATTATTTCAAATATTAAAAAAAATCAAACCGTAGCCCTTTTTTTTTTCAATCATGAATCACTTCAATTGCACATATAAAACCCTCCTTAACACTAACAGTTAGCTGTTTGTAAATAGCACAGCGTAAAACGAAAATATATCAAAATCAAATTCTATTAAGGGAAGAAAACAAAATCACAAATACACCAAACGCGCATGACTTCACTCGGACAACATTATTTTTCTTGAAAAGATGGATTCAGCCGCGTGGACAATAAGATCCCAAACAAGATGTAAGAACAAAAGCGATCCCAATCAAGTGGCTCGAACAAGAGGTGACGTAGGAATAGGTGAGTGAGGAGACATCCTATGAGGTGACATGACGGTCTCATCAAACCTCCTTGAATTAAAGCTAAGCCTAAGGTTCTGTTGCCAACCTTTGATTCCCACAGGTTTCTTTGTTTCTTTCCCTACGAAAGCTCGAATTCTATTGAGTGCAATATCCACCGTTTCATCGTCCATGTTAGCAAAGCAAACCCTAAACCAACCAGGCTCGGAGCAACTGAAAGAAGACCCTGGGGACACGTTGAGCTTCACTTCATGTATAATCACACGCCATAGCTTCAATTCAGCTTCAAACGTTTGTTCTTTCAACAAACTCTTCAAGTTCATCCAACAAAAAAGTCCTGCATTGCTTGGGAAGCGTGTGATGTTAACCTCTTCAAGTCCCTTCACGAATTTGTTATGCCTTTTTGCTAACCTTCTTTTGCTCTCCGCGAGAAACTTTGTTACAAATTTTTCATCTGAAAGCATTGAAGCCAACATGTGTTGAGTTTGTGAAGAGACTAATCCGAAACTTGACATTTTTCTTCCACAATTCACCACCGTGTCATTGAATGAATAAACTATCCCAACTCTGAAACCAGGGAACCCCATGTCCTTAGATAAACTATATATTATATGAATAAGATCACGGTTGCAATGCGCCATGTCTTGTATCACTTCAGTTACGCTTACGTAGCTTGGGGAACTGAACACTGTGGCTGCGTATATTTCATCGCAAACTAAATGAATGCTTTTCTCGTTGATGAAGTTCACAAGGCTCTTCAATGTGTCTTTGTCTAAGGTGGTGCCCAAAGGGTTAGATGGATTTGTTATGATCAACCCCTTCACCTTGATGTTGTCCTCTATGGCTTTCTTGTAAGCTGCTTCAAGAGCTTCTCTCGTTATCGTGAAGTTGTTTGAGCTATCACAGTGGACAGGGATTATTTGCACCCCAGTTCGCCAACACAAGTCACGGACGAATCTGTAGTAAAATGTGCAATATATCAATCGCTATCATTCAACTATAATTAAATATGTTATTCTTTATATTATATTTGTACATGCCCACGTGATCAAACATTGATAAGACTTGTAAATTAATTTTGTTACTTCTTAATCAAGTCAATGAGCCCAACCACGTAATCAAGTCTCTCCTTTGATCCAGTCAATGTGTATACTTTTTTTTTTCTTTTTTATCAACAGAGCAACATAAAAGAGACATTAAAAAAAGTATAGAGTACTATTATAATCTTGACTGCATAATCAAAGTTCAGAATTAACTAAAGCTTTTGTATAAATTAAAACTGCGACTATGGTCTTATTAGTGAGTTTCACCACCTTTCCAAACAAAATTCCCCTCCGTCAAAGACAATTTCATTAATCGGGTAGCCAGGCAAGGATTTGTAAGGATTTTGAATAAAGTTTATTGGTTTTTACTAACTTTTATCTTTAAGAAACTGATTAATGAATCAAAAGTAGAAAAAAAATATTAAAAAATATATCGTGATGCAATGGAAATTATGAGAGAATATGCATTAACAAGATTTTTTTAATAAAAAATTATTTTGATTCTTTAACTAATATCTCCATAATTCTAATTAGCATTTGTTAAAATTAACTTATAGTTAATTTTTTTTATGAAAAATGGACATTTTACAACCAATTATTTAATTGTAAAGTTAAAAATATCAATGTAGAAATCAGTAAAAATAAAATAAAATAAATGTGCTTACAAGAAAAAAACTTTAACTAAATATAAAATTTCATTTAAATTATAAAAAAGTGGCATGAAATTTTGTTGTCAAAGCTTGGAATATAATTGCAAAGATATCTGACCGAACAAAATTTCCAAAAATTCAGCTGTGCGCGTGTGCAGTTATTTGGTTCTGGTGACGTTCCTGTTTGAATATAAGATGACCATACAGTGAGTTGTTCATGATTTCATTTTCCACAGGTCAATTGGTTAGTGCATGCTTTGCTTGTATGAAGGGTCTAATTTAGACTTAAACAGATGAGCAAAACTACACGCTTGTTGACTAACCGCGCTGTATTATTATCCCATACTTGTTGACTAATCTCACTGTAGCAGGCTTAATTATTATTAAAAATTGAATGTTTTAATACCCCTTAGAATGTAGACATTTTTAGATCGAAAAAGACATTAGGAAGAAAAGAAAAGTATTATAAGTTTTTTTTTTAAAAAAAAAAGGGGACTAAATAGAATATTACAGGGAATAAAAGTGAGGTGTAAAAATTAAAATTGATTATTGTTTTAGATCTATAAGACGTAATTTTTATTTAAAGCTAGGTTTTGACGTAATTAACTGAGTGAGTATGGTGATTTTTTTATTTTTTTTTATTTTAATTTTTTTTATCACAGTTTTTTAACCAGAAACGGGAAATTATAGGGTTAACACACCTCACCTAGATAGTTGGGGAAATTAAGGTGAATGTGAATCAAAACTTTATATTTTACTCTGAAGAAAAAACATGAATCCATAGTTGCAAAAATTAACAAGACAAAAGTTTTAATTTCTTCTTTTAGTTTGACATACATTACATTGGCTGCTAATATGAATGCAATTAATTAGCTTCATCCTATTTGGTGTCTGAAACCAAAATCCTTTGGTACCACGTCAATTTTATCTCTTAAATTTCAAACCTAGCATCTTTAGATAAGATAAATATGTCAATCACCTAATTCTACATTATTCGAGAATCGAAACCTTGGATATACATATATACTTTATTACTTTATTTTGCTAATATCAAACTACCTACAATGGTTCCATATGCTGGATTGGTTTTTGTTTCTGGTTGCAAACTCGTCCTTTTTTATCTTTTTATAAAATATTATTATTTTATTTGTGTTAAACACTGTAAACTAAAAGGAGAAGATATCTGTTTCAACATTCAATCGTTTAGGATCTTAAATATTGAATGAAAGTTGTTAAAGTTAAAATAGCATGTCAATCAAGACATTGCATCCCCCCTTTAACCAAAACGAAACATATAATTATAACACTTTATATATGCGTGCTTTTTATCTCCACTTTTAACATTTGATGGGTGAGTTACAGTGACATACATTGAATGAACACAAATATTATGAAAGAGAAGGCACATACGCTGGATAATATGGGGTTGGAACCATAAAAGCGTCTCCAGGATCAGCCAAGCAGAACATGATTAGTTCGTTTGCTCCTGTGGCCCCTCCACTCATCAATATACGGTCTGGATCAAATCTGACCCTACCACCTCTCACTTTTGACATAAAATTTGCCATAGCCTGAAAGAAAATTATAAAACAATTTCTTGTTAATCACACAACATGCTCAATCATTATACTAAAGAAGATAATGGATCCAGTGGTATATGTGAGTTTGTGTATGTTTATATCTTTTTTACATAAATATTAAAACTATGATTGGAAAAGTTTCTTTATGCAAAACACTTGTGTATTTTTGTAAAATATTCTCATTAAATCATTAATTTATCTAAATAAATTAAATTAAACACATTAAATATGCATAATTTATTAAATTTTATGAATGCTAAAAGAGAAATTAATACAAAATTATCACGTGAGAGATCAATGTCTGAATATATTGAAGTTTTCCGTTGCTTACACTTCGGAACTCTTTCAACCCATGATAGTCCTGAAAGTTAGCAATATCTCTGAACTGATGCACTCCTACGGGAGTGCAAATGGAAGCCATGGGATTATTCCGTATCCACTCCTCAATTAGATCAAAGCAAAGCTGTTAAAAAATAAATAATGAACACCCTTATGAGTAAGTTCATTATAGCACAAATAAACCATATAAAAGGTACAACAATATATACCTGGTTTTCCGCAAGACCCATTTGTAAAACACCATGAGGATTTTTTGTAGGGTGAAATGGGTTTCTCTCATAAGCCTTCCACCCATCAAAATAAGGAGAATCCTCCCCATGTTTGTCACTGGTTGCAATCTTGGATAGAAGTTGTTGGCTCTTACTCCCCAAATCCATGGTTCAATATTTGCCCTGAAAGGTTAATTAATGTCACTCTACTTTGAGTAGCAAAGGTTGTGTGGATGGTGCTAGCAGAGACAATAGCAAACAAGTACCGATGGGAAAATGGGAGTGAATGTGAGAGAATTTATAGGCAGTGGATGTAGGGTTATTGTAGCTGATGACAAGGAAGAAAATTCTATTTCGAACTTCAAAACCTTTGAAGACTTGAGAAAATAAATAAAATAATGGGTCTGTGTTTTAGTCAAATGATAGATTGCTTGCGTGTGCTCTTATCATTCACGAGATAGTCACGTGTGAAAAGACGTATATGTGCACAACCGACAAGGGCTATTTTCTTTTACGCATAACTTGCTTCCGTAAGTACATGTGTTAGGTATTTGTTAATTCCCTCATCGGAAGAAAACTGGCTTAACATGAGAAAAACAATATCGAAAATGTTTCTTTAATATTAAACGAGATTACAAATGGTTTATTTTTTAATTTAAATATACTTTTGAGATGTGTAAATATAAAAAAAATTCTATATATATAGAAGGTGGATGTAAACATTAGAGATGTGAAAAATCAAGGTTGATTAAAAGGATATATACATTTTTTTTATGCAGATTGTGACGAAATTTTGTTAAACAGAAGTTGTTTATAGTAATTCGATAATTTATTTATTATTTTTAAAATAAAAAAAGTCTTTTTCTGTTTACTTACCTTTTTATATTAATATTATTGTTAAATATAATAGAACAATACTTACAAAATTATATCCAAAAACCATTCATTCAAATAGTTACATCATTTTTCTATAAATGAAAGTACTAATTAAAATATGTAAACTCTTCTGAAATTATTATAAATCACATATGTTGATGCGAAAAGAGTACTATTAAACAAAAACACAAATTCAGGAGTTCGAATTGTAGCTTGACAACGGACTGAGCCTAAAAGTCACAGATTTTCCTATTATTCTAAATCACAGAAAGTTTTCTGGCTTTTACTAAAAGTCTCTGCAGAGCTACACAACGGACTGATCCTATTATAGTAAGAAGTAGATTTCTCTCTCTCTCTCTCTCTCTCTCTCTCTCTATATATATATATATATATATATATATATATTCCTTTCGTTTCAATCTTTTATAAAGATTCTTTTCAATTTATAGCTTAAAAAGTTAACTTTTACAAAATATTGAAATTAATTTTTAAGTTTTTAAAATGATATCTAATTATAATAACTTTTAAAAAATGTACTCAATTAAAAAAATACTTTATATATAAAAAAATAAACAATAAAATTAAATGAATTAAATGACATCCTGTCAATAAAATTGCCAATTCAAGCTTGATATTCACGTGAGTTAGGTTAAAAAAAGGCTAAAGTTATTCAGGTTACTAAAATGGTAAATTTAACCTAACATTAAGTGAGTATTGAGTCTATCAGAGCAAATGCATTTTATAATTCATTTTTAGCATAATTTTGACCAAGCTCGTAAAACATTAAAAAAAAGGGTAATTTATTTTACACTTACTCTACCATATAAAAATTATAGTATACATTTTATTTTTAAAGAAAATATAAAATTATATTAAGTAAAACTTTAATTTAATTAGGCCTAACAAATTTTCCAATTCTAGAGCATGACTCTAGTTAGCCTATTTATCTAATCTAATATAAAATTAACTTGATCTTTTTAAAAACTGATCATAACTTAATTAAAAATCTTATTAAATAAGTTAACAAACATACAACTAAATATATTAATAGATCGAAGTTTTAACATAGGTAAATGGACATAAATCTTTAAATATGTCAATAAATATGCAAAAATTTTTTCATGAAAAATAAGTATATAATAACTTTAAAGGCTTATGATACATGAATACATATATAGTTTTAAAATAATGCCTAAGAATTGTAAAATTCAATACCATAATAATAATAATAACAATTACTAATACGACATAATAGTTTATTCGATCTACCTTTCAAAATAATCTAAAGTTTGGAATTTTCAAACAAAATAATTTAAAAAAAAATAATTTAACTTATGTAGTAAATTAATCTAGTCTTACTTAAGTTTAATATTAACTAGATCGTAGTCAACGACGAACCCACGTAGCTCATTATAGGGAGTTTTTTTTTTAACATACATACACAAATGTATACGTGAGTGAGTATCGAGTGACCACTTTTAAAAAAATATTAAAATTTTTTATTTAATAAAATATAAATTTAACAAATTTAATCATTAAATAATTATATATTAATATGTTAATCATATATATTATCTATACATGTAACTTTTTTAAAAGATTATTCTTAGTGCCCTCAATATTTGATGATAGTATAATATATTTTTAATGTTATGAATTAATGTACATAGAGTTTTATTAACCAATACTATTATAATCTTAATTAAATAATAATAATAATTTATATTAAAAATTGCATTAAAATAATAATGAAAATATATTAATAATTTATTCATAAAATAATATTTTTAATTTTAATTTTTGAATAACTGTTTTCAGAATACTTATTAATATTTACTTAATGTAAAAGGGTAAGGTACTATAGTACACATTCTCATACCTGCGTTTTAAAAAAATACATATACCCAGCCTCATACCCGCGTGGGTATGAACATTAATCCTCATATCCGTACACTCTGGGTCCCATCTTGTACCCATTACCTGTGCTTTTTGAGAAAAAAATATTTATAAAAAAAATATGTTTATATAACTTCACATAAGTAACATAATAATACAAAAATTCAATATGTAGTTGTCGAATAAGGTACAAATATAGATAAAATAAATAAATATTTAAAAATCACAAGTGCTAAATATATCTTAATATTATAATTTTCTAAACAAAAATTCTTAGAATCAATAAGCGAAACTAAACAAAAAAGTTATTTGTCGACGATAACCTTATATTGTGTGAGATTCGATCGATCAGCAACGTTAGAGTAACAACGAAATAGATATGCACAATGGGTTACTCTTCGTGTGGTATCACTTGGTGACCTCTTATGCTAGCATTAACAACCAACTCTAATGAATAACGTTTCATAATTGTTAGGTTTTAATGAGACCGACATTGAGAATGATAGTAGAATTAAGATAGAGAAGTTCAAATACTAACAACGAAAAGTAGATACATAAAATATTTTTTTAATTTTTGAATTTGAAATTGTAAGAAAAATAATATATATATATATATATATATATATATATATTAATACTAGTATTTTTAACTCATATACTATACAAAAGTATTTTGTCAAAAATACACATTTTTGAAAAATTATTTTAATAAATTAAATATTTATAATGTATATAAATTTTAAAAGAAAGAATTTGAGTAAAAGATAAATAGCCACAATAAAATTTTATAATAAAAAAATATATATGTATATAAAAAAATTATACATTTTATCTGAAGAAAAAATTACCAAATAAAAATTAACAATAATTTTTATATTTTATGTCTTTTCAAAAACTTCTTTGAACGTAAATGAATAGTAAGAATAATATTATTTAGATTCAATCGATAATAGTTGTATTTGTAATATATATATTGCATCAAAATATATTATTTTAAATTAAAATATTAAAATGAAATTTAAATATTATCAATAAATAATAAATTTACAGTAATAATAAATAATTGTAAAATTTATAAAATATTTACAATATATTTATTATTTATCATTCACTTTATGATTTAAATATCAATATAATTTTATTAACAAAAATATTTGTGTGAAAAATATTTTATGTGTGTCATATATGAATAATATTTTTTTAAAAGGTCAATCTCATATCAATTATATAATAATTAAATTATATTATCCTAATTAAATAATATAAAATAGTAAATAAATTTTTCTATTAAAAATATAAACCAAAATAATTTTTTTGGTTTATTTTATTATTAAATATATTTTTATATTAATTTTATATAAATTTATATAAGTAATATATATATATGTATGCGGGTATGTGTGGATACTTAGATACCCATACTCGCACTCATTTCCATTAAAATTTACAGATTTTTACTCAAATTCATACCCGTACCTATATAACGAATAAATACCCTACCTACTAAAGATATTCATTATATACTTTACTTATTATCATCCCTAAATATAAATATGTTATATCCATAACAAAATTCTTTAGTTCGTCACTGATTACTGACCCTGACAAGCTACGAGAGTCTTCATTTATTGTCATCTCTTCCACTAGCAACTGTATATTAGATTTTGATTAAAAAAAGGATCAAAATCTAAAAAGTGATTGAGTCACTGTTAGGGGTGATAATTAATCTCTTGCTGCAGGGATCTCCGTAGGGATCGTCCCGAATGGGTCTTCGAATGTGAGAATATTTTTTCTGTGAGGATGGGGATAGGGATAAAAATTCTCCCGCTGCTAATTTAGAGACGAGAATGGGACCAATTTTCTCGCTCCACGGGTTCTCTGAATCCCCGGGTATAAATAAAAATACTTAAATATCATATAGATAGAGTAATATAATAACTTACTTATTTAAAATAAAATATAACATTCTTTTAAATAATAATAATAATAATAATAATATAAAATTATAATTTTTAATTATTTTTTATTTTTTATATATTTTCGAAAAATCTGGGAAAGTCCGTGAGAAATCGGAAACGGGAATAGAAAAAAACATTTCTCCATGGCAGGATCAGGGACGGGGAGAAATATGCTCCCGCGCGGGTGCCACCCCTAGTCACTGTGTTTAAAAGCTTGTTTGATTTTACGGTGTAAGTTCCGTTAGCTAAACTTTTTATTAATAAAATGTTGTTGCGTTTTTTTCTCATAAATCGAGAATCATCAATGTTATTTAATTTCATGGTTATCCATACAAGCTAATCTGATTCTTTACGACTATGCATCTTTAATAATTTTTAAGAACCAAAATCTTTCTCCACATTTAACGAAAATGTAGAAATATAAAATATAATTATTGA